GTTCAGAACTCACAGAGACACCGCTGTATCTACCACCCCTTTCAGCCATGGCTTTATTTATTTTTCAATTCCCAATTATAATCCCCACATTGAAAATATTATACTTTAAACATATGAGTGAGAGCAAACCAAGAAGAATAGATGTATTAGTTAATCAACAAAATAAACATGACTTAAGGCCATTCAATGAAATCAATTCCCGGTTATAATCCCCACATTGAAAATATTACACCCAGTTTCTCAGACCACGGTGGGGTCCCTCCAATATGGAATTTATGACCAGCGTTTGGGAATCACAAGCTGATCGTCCCTCTCTGGAAAAAACAGAAAATGAAAACCATCCAGCAGCAAGATGTCCGGACTCACTGCAAACACTCACTTCCCTGGTCCTTATAAACAACTACAACCTTTCCTTCTTGGACTTTAAAATGCCTTCCCGGATTTACTGGCCTTCTCGGTTCACTGCACCATACAACGGCCAGGTTGTTAACTTTTTACTTTATTTCCTTTATATATATTTTATATTTTACAATACAATAGCCTAATTCTGCAGTTTTTTTTAAAATGAAAAACAGGTTACACTCACTTAGGAGATCCCCTTCTCATCGGATCATGGATCCTGAAGGGTTCTGTTATCGATCTCCCTTGACGGCACCACGCTTCAGTTGTCAGTCACTGGGGACCCTTCTGTCAATCACGATCTCCCTGGAGGCACCCACACAGCGTGCTAACCACCCGGGGACTCTTCCTCCGATCGCAATAGCAATCTCAATCCTCGTGCTTATCTACTATACAACAGACAGTAGGAACAGTTTCAAACAACGTTTTTAGTAAATGCCAATGGTCAGAGTTTTGGTGAAACAGGCTTCTGCTTACCGCTGTTCAGTTAGAGGCCTCTCGTTGTCTTCCGTATTCCACTTGTCTGTATCGTCTGTAACAAAAATGTTCCGTTTAACAGCTGATCATACGATCTATCGTCCTGCCTTCATCACGTCGGGGTCACCAAATTGTTGAGTCCACTATTATTTCGCAGCAAAAACCGGACTCGCATGTTCGTTTGATGAAGTACACAGGACACAGATTTAAAGTTGAACACGTCTAATTTATTAAAAGTATAGCCAAGCATAGAAGTTTGAGATTGCTTACAGAGCTCTGGACTCACTGCTCTCCTCTCGCCTGTCTAAACAGAGTGCAGTACTTCCTTGTTTCAGTCATTCATTCTTATACACATTGTCTGTATAACAGGGTCACTCCGCCTCTTCTCTCTTCACACCACCCTGACCTGAACCTGTTATCTAAACATTTCATACTTGTACTTTCTTGTCTGTCCCTGTGCATCATTCTGCAATCTCAAACGGCAATCAGTGTCACAATGTTCATAAACAACCATAATCATCAGTTCAAAGCGGATTTGCCTTTCAAATCAAACAGTGCATACAGTTGCAAACATAACATATCCCTTCAGTCCATAAAGGATTTGGTGACTGAGACCAACACTCTGAGGTGTTTCTGCTCATTTGACACGAACCAGGTTTAGTGCCTCATGAAGTTTCTAAAGTTCAGTTGAAACTGTTTCAGAGAGGTGCTGGTTCCAAGTTGAATTGTATATGTGTATGTTTACGTGGGCTTGACAAAATAATAGAGACACTTTGACTGCACCTTATATTTGAATACCGTCGGGTTTCTCACCTGCTTTTCATGTATTTATGTTTGTGATCCAGGCGAACGGTATCATTAAAAGGCTGCAGGGAGAGGTCCGAGGACTCGTTGGGAAAATAAAAGTCAAAAACACTGTGACTGTGTCTCAGGAGAAGGTTCTCCAGGACACATCGGAGAAACTGCAGAAGGTTGAAAAGGATCTGCAGAGCTCTCAGCAGCAGCTCAGTACCAAGGATGAGCAGGTATGTCTGAAACTGCAGACGCTGCATGTAAACGGCCTTTAGGTCTTTCTTTATCTCCATTGATGAAGCACTGATCAGGCTGATCAGGTAGGCTAATTACAACAATAGAAACTGATTTGATATGAACTTGATAACAACATGATTTGTGTTTTACAGGTTACAAAATTGAAGGAGCAGCTGGAGATGACGGTACAGAAGCTGAATGAAAGCAGAGAAGTGTTGAAAACAAACGAGAACGGTGAGGACACTTGTCTTAATCATTTCAGTTATAAATGGACTGACTGTAGTTACATTACAGGAGCCAGTGGAGATTTCACTCCCAATAACTGCCGGCGTGTTCACTAGTGTTAATTTGGTGAACAAAAGGACTAAATATGTTTGTCGACAACCTTTATTTTTCTTGTCTAAGACTGTTGATGAGGAGACGTCACCGACTTCAACAATCTCTAGCTGTGACTGTATCAATGTTCAATATCGTTGATGCAAAAAGACGAAACTAAAATGTATTTTAAAAAATAAAAACTTGACTTGAGCTGCCAATAATAATAATAAACAAGTCACTAACCTTAGCATTAAAATTCAGTAATGTGAAGAATTTGTTAATGTAATTTTTAATGATACATTTTAGACAGTTTTATGTCATTTTCTTTTATAAATCCCTTTTCTAGTTGAAGTCTTTATTGATGGATTAATATTTTATTTGTAAATTCTTGTTATTATTTTTATTGCCTGGTAAAATATCAGTTAATGAAATACTCAGTGATTTAGTCCATTTAAAAAAAAAAGTGTTGCATTTCTGTTTTACCACAGTTATAAATTGGCTGAACAAGCAGCTCAATGAAAAGCAGCTGTCCAGAAACCCACAGTCCACCGAGTCCTTGGAGATCCCTTCAGTTTTATCCACCACAGCAGGACTGAGGGTAGGAGGCTGTGCTCGGCCGTATAGAGACAAACTTTACCTCACACGTAGAATACACCTGTCGTAACGACCTAATTCGCTCGTATCAGTGAGTGTGTGTTAGTGACACCAGCTACAGACGTGACTGTATCGTTCCAGGCGCAGTTTTATCCTCAGACAGTCAAACCTGTTGTGTCTCCCATGGCGACTGCTGATGTCACTCCAGCTGAGCAGAGAGCAGCGCAGCCCGCCATCAGACAGACGTGAGTTTGGATGACGTTTATTATTTGTTTCCACAGTGTATACTGGTGTGTGTGTGGCAGGCCCGGTGTCGTTACTGGGAATCTATGAGTGTTCGTTAGGCGTTAAGCTATAACACTGTTTTATGTTATTTAAAACTAAAGCATCTAATTAAACATAAGCCCATAATGTATTGTATTTTAAAAACCACCTCCAAGTGATAGAGAAGTAACTGCTCTCCACACTGTATCCAGGTTTGTATTTCCAGCACAACCAATCAGATAGAAATGAACTTTGATTATTGGAATGTGGCTTGTTATTGGTCAAAACGACAAGGACAAAATAAAATACTTTTCAGTTATTTTTAGAATTTTAGGATGAAACGTTACGATTTGATGGGGAAGTCGGAGCATCTCAAATGACTGAAAGACACATGATTGATTTTGTGTTTTCTCCTCGTCCTCAGCGGAGACTTCGCAGGTCTGGATTCTAAATACTTCGAGAGGAGAGATGATAGCATCCCGATCTACGGCCTGTCGTCTAATCTGCTTCATAGAGGTAAAAGTGATCGGCATTTAGAGAACTACACACACTTAAACAGTAAATACTGTAAATAATGAGATCAGGTTTGTCATGCAGTAACCAGGTGACAGTTATCTCACTGCATTAACCTGATTTCATTAGAAACACACTTGTTTTTGATTGTGTCAATGATGCATCGTTACATTCAAGATGATTCAATTCACAGTCTAACAAACTGATACAAAGTTAATGGGTTCAAACAAACAAAGCTGCACAACGTGTTATCTTATTGACATAAAATGAATCATATTATTAAAGGGAATAATGTTTTTGACTGATGTGTTGGATGAGAGTGATGGATAGATGGAGGATTGATTATTTCCACCACTGGCCAGCTGAGTGCCGAGTTTCAGTCTGCTGAGCCGCTCTGGTTTCCCGGCTACTCGGGAACTGCAGGGAAGAGAAGGAGCACTTCCAATACACTGAGCCTTGCCTCGACATATCAAGCAGAGGGAGTTAGACATAAAGACCTGCTTCTAATAAAAGTCTGATATGTTCTGGAGTTGAAGTAAATAAAGACTAAACTGTTGTGGATCCAGACGGAGGCTGTGCTCTGAGTGAGAGAATATATAAGAGACATACTCCCGGTGGTTCACCTGGTGGAGTGTGACATTTGGGTTTTAGTCTTTGCCACCGCGGCCTGACCTCGAGTCCTGCCGGTGGCACTTTTCTGCGTTTCATCCTCTTTCTCTTCCCGTCCCTTTTAACTTTGATTGTAATAAAGGCAAAAATAACTTTAAATAAAAAGAAAGATAGTCCATCTCTTCTAACTTTCTCTGAGTCATGTTACAGTAAATCCAGCTGAAATCACAGCTCAGTCTTTGTCTTTGGTGATTTAGTCAGACGACGTCACATTTATAAAATCAGGATTTGACCAGAGGTCCAGACATAAACTGGGTTTTGACGTAGTGCTGTTTTTTTTTTTTTTCTTTTCAGAGTTTCCTCAGAGAACGAAGCCTCCTGCAGCTTCTGCCTACTTCTCTGCCTGAAGCAGAAACTCTCTCTAAAGACAGAAAAGCTTTAATTTCAGCTTCAGTTGGAAGAAAAAACATCAAAAACTCACCATCTGCTTTATGTCTTCAGCTCCTGTACAAACTGTGACTGACCTGTGGTGCTACATGAACTTGTTTTTAAGTAGCTATTGTTGTTATTTTAATTTATATGCTAATGCTCTACATGTCTGTCTCTGATTTTGTGCCTCAAGTAAATGCTGTTAAAACCCCACGGTCGATTCCTGTGATCATGGAGAATGTATTAATGCCTTTTTTTTGTCTATTTTTCCTCATACATTGTCATCCTTCAGTGTTTATATGGTTTGTTCTCTGTTGTATTTCAGTTATTGAGTGTAGTCCTTAATAAACTTAACATCCTCATCAGCGTTTACAGTCTTTTCTGCAGGTTTCGTTTATTAAATCTCACATTAAAAGTGTGTAAAATAGAAATATTAGTGGTATTCAATGTTGATCGAGGGTTGTTCTAGCATCTTCTAATGTTACAGTTTAAAGACGTATTAAATGACCAACCCACAGAGCAACGGCCAATCAGAGCCCCTGCTGCTTTTTGTTCATTTATATACAATTTAAGTTCTCCAGTTCATAGTATCTTGTTCAGACGCAGATTTATTGATTGATATAATTACTGCACATCGTGATCTCCAGACTCCAGAGTGATGTTTCCAGAAAGTCTCATGAATCAGCGGTTGAAAGGAAGATGCCAGGGGCAAATAGGGTGGACAGCTGGGTCAGGATTAATCAAGGGTGTATCGCAGTGGTTGAAGGGTGGGGGTATTTGACCAGAATGTGGGCCAGCATTGTCAGGAAGACCATGAGGACTTGGTGGGCGTCCTCCAATGTGGGGAGGAAGGCCATGACCATGACCATGACCATGACCATGACCATGTGGTGGGCGTCCTCCAGCGTGGGGAGGAGGTGCTGAAGGGCCATGATAGGGAGGGAGGCCAGGAGGGTGCGCACGGTGAGGGGGCCTACAGACGGGCTCCGGTTCACCAGGAGCAAGGGCGGTGGTGTTCTGTCGAGAGAAACAGCGTTAGTCGAAGTGTGTTTCTGCATTATTCAATAATGTAGAGTAGAAGAAGAAGAAGTGGAGTTTGTGACAGGAAGTAGATTAGGTGAATACACAGTTTACTGTACTTCAGCAATGTGGACTCACCACTGGGGGGTAAAAGTCACATTCAACATCCCCGAGTCCATTTTCCATCGAATAAAGTGAACGGCAGTAAGCGTGATGCTTTAGAGAGAGAAGAGAGACACAATGAGAACAAGCTGGAAACTGAAACAGTGGGTGAATGAAATATTCAACGTCACACTGACACTATCCTTGAACACACTGGTAGATGTCCATGTGTAGTGTGATTATAGATCAGCTCTAGCTTCTATATTAATACTGTGAAAGTATCAAAGCCTCAGTCCACAGAGAAATGCACACACCCTGTATTCAGAAACTGAGCCTTAAAACCAGCCGTCAGGACTTCCTGTAACTTTGTGATGTCACAACAAAGCAGTCACCAAGCCCTGCGCACCTGGACCCACCATCCAAACCTTGCAGGATTTGGTTTCTCTGAGTATTTTTACCTGAAAACTGCAATATTTTTATTGGATCACTCAGAAAACAGTCAGCCAATCAGAAGAGAGGCTCAGAGCCTCCTCTCTTCTGATTGGCTCACCGACCTGTTGTTACTAGAGCTCCAGAGAGAAGCCTGAGAGAGGAGATGTAAAACTACACTGAGATGGTTTTTCCGTTCTTAAAACCACAAATATATCTTCTGATGGATCAACACTTTATGGAGATAGTTCCTCATCATGTTCGGACCGTAGGTGCGAAGGAATACGGTAGTTCAGCGGTTGAAAAACTGTAGTGCCAAAGGAAAGTGCTGTTTCCCGCTGAAAATATTCTACATGAAGCTACATTTAAATGGATATTGGATTGTTTCGGTGGACGTCTTTTAAAAGTGTCTTGAACAATGTTTTTCCTGCTGGCCCCGCCCACAGCAACACATTGCTCTGTTACTGTGTTTCCTGGCAAATAACCTGAACCATCCCTTTAAGCTTTTGGAGGCACTTGATGACGCTTAAAGCCAAATTGAACATTTTTCATATTTTCACATGTCAAGCCAACTTCATGCAGATCTCCTCATGTCCCGTGTTTAAAGTTGCATTAGAAAAAGTCGAACTCTACGTATGTGTTCTGCTCTCTTTTAAACTCGGGACACATCATGTCGGTGTGTTGTACTCACTGCTCTGTCGGGGCAGAGGGGTTTGCACGCCTCAGGGAGGATTCTGGATCCCATTGGGCAGTGAGTCTCCACGACGACAAACTGAGCAGAGAAGAACATCCCTCCCACCATCTTGTACTGAGAGAGGAGGAGAGAGAGTGAGAGAGTGAGCGGGAGACAAGAGGGGAGTGTGCAGGGTTTATACTAGGTGAGATTACAGACACATTTCAAAAATAAGGCTTTGGTCATCTTGCTAAAATATCTGACCCCACTGTCTGTGATAATCACACTGAAACAGAAGAAACTTTGAGTCGTAGTATGTGTGTCGCGACATTCTCTGTACCCCAGATTTTATGCGTCCCACTTCCTCCAGGATGTAGTAGCGCTGGTTGGTGGTGTTCTGGTTGAATTTCTTCACAGCTTCATGCACAGACTTGAGACCGTCAGAGTCGCTGAGTGGGACCAGTACGGGACAGTCAGGGCAGATCATGCTCATCTCCATGTTAGTTTTTACTGCACACACACACAGTTAAGAGTCAGCTTTCTGAGGGTTTAACAGTATGAATCCGTACTCACAACGTTTCCAGGGGAAACTAACATGAACCATCTGTGGGAAATTTTAGCATAATTGCTGTGTGAAGGCTTGAGTTATGACTTGACCTTTGACCTTTGCCAAAAAATTCTAATCAGGTCATCACTGAGTCCTTGTGAAAGTTTGTGCCAAATTTGAAGAAGTTCCCTCAAGGTGTTACTGAGATATCGCATTCGTAAGGTCACAACCATATTTGGTTAGGTCCCTTTGACCTTAACCTTTGACCTTTGACCTTTAGCCACCAGAATCTAATCAGTTAGTCCTGAAGTCCAGGTGAATGTTTGTACCAAATTAAAAAAAAAAAATCCCTCAGGGTGTTACAGAGATATCGACAACCTGCCATGAAGAGAGCGTCCGGGGTTCATGATGAGTTTGGATACGTGACAGAAGAGAAACCCACCTCTTCTTGTGGCACAATTGTAATCCACGATTTTGGCATTGCCACTAATTATAGATATCTTAACGGTGCAGTTGGCCATCACCTCCTACACAGAAGCAGAGACAAAGACATTTAACTGCAGATACCTCACATCTCCTATCTAGAAAAAACATAAGCATCAGTGCGTCCGCTCTCTGGCTGTAGGAGCGTGAGACGCAGTGCTGATGAAGGGAAACTGCATTAAATAAATAGTTATTCCTCATTTACCCAGTCATAATCGCTACGGAGATTGCAGTCCTCAAAGTGTTTGGGGTTGACAACGTGGCAGTCTGTCTCCAGAAGACCCATCTCTAAAAAAACATTACAGCGATCTCCACCCTGGAAACAACAGAGAGGAAGGAGCATGAATCACAATGACCGCGGTAAATGAAGCTTTAAATGTCCCCACACCAAAACAACTCACTCAGACTTCAGGACAGTATAATGGAGGTTAATAGCCCATAAAACAAAAAGAAAAAAAAAAACGGACCTTGAATTTTTCCTTATTCTATGAATAAAAGCTGTAAACCATAATAACACAAGAAAACCTCTTTAGCCTCTTTAGCACCTAAAGGTGATTTGAAGTTCTGCTCATTCTTTGGAGCCGTTTTCATATCCGTTCTTTCTTTTCTTCTTCTCAATGAAAATCAGCTCCAAAGTCACTGCTGCACTAAATGTCTGACTGGTCTCATCCTTCTGTCTGTTTTCAGTCACTACAATTAACTCAGAACAACTTCTCCTCACCTCAGCCAAGTCTCTGAATCAGACCCTCTGATTGGCTGTGATAGCACCCACTGAGCCAATAGGAGTGTCCAATTCAGTGACGCTAAGTGACACGTCACTGGCAAAGATGGTGGATGAGAATCAATTGATAACTCTACAGAGAGTAAGCAGCAATGCACCTGGCAAACAGTAAGACAATCTAAATCTTTTGTATTGTTTACTGATCAAAGTAATTTTTGAAAAGTGCTGATTCTGTAGTTTAAAGTGAAAAAACGCCACGTCTCCAGCTCAAACCTCCGTGGAGTTACAACGCTTCAAAGACAACGTGATATTTGGGCGTCAGAGGGTTAAAGAGCCACTGAGCTGAAACAACTGAAGACTTTCATTGAGACTGTAAAACTGGAATCTACAGGAAGTAACCAGTAACAAACTCCCAGCTGTAGGACAACTGTGCTACAAAGACAACATTTCAACCTGAGCTGTAGTCACAGGAAATCCATCGTCCCTCCAAAATAAAATTATTCAAAGCACCACAGTCTTAAAATCAGAATTATTTCGAGAATGAATGTGCACACAACACTGATTGTTTCTGGTTCCAGTACCCCTATCACCCCGATGACGGAGATACGATCGAGTCGGAACTTGTAGCCATGGTGATGGTGCTCGTTGATGTGTTGCACTGCCGCGCGTCCTGCTGCAGCACTGTTCTCCCCGCTGCATGTCAGCTGCTCCAAACCTGGAGCAGCGCTGCAAAGCAGCACCGCTGAGGACAGCAGCGCCAGGACGGGTAATCTCTTCATGGTGCCAGAGACAGAGACAGAGACAGAGCAGAGCAGAGCGCCGCAGCGGGGGATGTTATATAGACATGGACAGGTCAATAGAGAAGAGTGGGAGGAAGAGAGAGTGACAGAGAGGCGGAGAGCATGAGGACAAGACCACGGCCCTGCCAAGAACAAACACAGACTTTAACCAGAGCAGCCTATTTTGAAATGTCCACTGAAACACATCAGTTTCATCATAGTTGTCAAATGCCAACCGTTTCCCAGCACAATACAAGCATTTCTCCATCCTTGGGGGCAAAGGTAGGGTACATCCTGGACAGGTCACCAGTCTATCACAGGGCTGATACACAGAGACAAACAACACACACATTCACACCTATGGGCACTTTAGTAGTTTCGTCATAAAATGTCATAGTAAGGCGTAAGGTAACGTCCCTGAACAACCTGGTGTAACATAAAAAAGCGTAAAAACATCATTCGCATAAAAGACTCAGTTAGAGTCACCAATAAACCTAATGTGCAGGTTTTTGGACTGCGGGAGGAGCAGGAGTGATCGGAGAGGACCCACACAGGTAGAACAGGCAAACTCCACACAGAAACGCCAGGCCCGGGATTTGAACCCAGAACCTTCTTGCTGTGAGGTGACAGTGCTAACCACTGCAGCACTGTGCCACCCACAAGCATTTCTCACTCAAGAGAATTAGAAGGGCACTCACAGGGTACAGACCAGGCCAATGTCAAACACACCAGACCTCAGAGAAAAAATTCTAATTCATAGTAAATGATCCTGAGTCCTGCCAAGACCAATCAGAAGAGAGGCTCAAAGCCTCCTCTCTTCTGATTGGCTCACAGACCTGTTGTTACTAGAGCTCCAGAGAGAAGCCTGAGAGAGGAGATGTAAAACTACACTGAGACGGTTTTTGATTCTTAAAACCACAAATATATGTTCTTATGGATCAACACTTTAAAATAGTAACACAAGAGAAGAGTAAGAGAAAAGGCATTGATTTACTATTATAATTCATTATTATTAGCATTCACTCAAGCAAATATAATTGTAATACAATTGTAAATTGTATTAATTTAAAGGCAATAATTATTCAACAAAAGCTATAATCTTTAATCATGAATAGATCTGGGTAACTCTTTACTCTGGGTAAAAAAAAAACAGTCACATCTGTGAATACTGTAGGTTCATGAAAGAGTAAACTAAAAAAAAAAGCTTAGTCATCATCTATCTACCATTCTGCACTTTGGCAGCAGAACAGTCACTCCAAAAAAAAACAGCTTCAGAACTAACCAGGCTTATGTCCACACATCTGCAGCTGTATGTAAACAGAGGATACGTCATATGATCATGGTTCTGTTTACTAACAGAAACACAAATCAGGAGAAAAAAATCCAACAGGATGTCAAGGTTAGGAGACTGAAAGATAAATATGAACAGTGACTCAGTGCTGGGATGATATGGGAATCAGGCTCCCGGATTTAATGATTATCCAAGAGAAGCTGCACATCAGGACTGGAGTGATATGATTCAGCAGCACATCATACCTGAGCAGTACAATACTGTATTCTGAGGGACGACGTTGCTCGAAGCATTTGTGCCATCAAATAAATATAGACAGACATATTTTATTTTGTTGTGGCTACAACTCATTCATTCATTCATTCACTAACTCTGTCTCCAGTCTGATCCCACACCTGATCCCCTTTCAACTGCTCACAAGCTCCAATAACTCCTCCATCATTGCCCCTGGTATAAATACACCTGCCATTTAGTACCTCCTAACTTTTTGTGATCCAGCCTGCCTTTGTCTCTTTGGTTTTGTTTGCCTGGTCTGCCTGACTGCGAACAAACCCTACTCCAGTCACTGACATACGAACCTTTGCTGTTTCGGTACCTGCACGGCCAGAGTTGAGCATTTGAGTCTAAATCTAGAGTCGAGCAAGGTGATTGGTTGACTCAGCTCATGTTGGGAAGGTTCAAAGCAGAGCTGGAAAAAATGTAAACAGTTAAAGTTGTACATGCAAGTATAAAAAACAGCCACACAAATGTCCCTGAACTACGTGGTCTAATATAAACAATCATAAAAACATGATAGTAGAGAAAGGCATGAAAAAACCCGATTACAATTGCCAAAAAACCTAATGTGCATTATGCATGTCACTGCACCGAGAAGTACTCGGATATAACCCATGCAGGCAGTTCTTACCATTGTACTGCGGTGCCATCCCATAAATAAATCATAGTACAGTAAGACATAAAAAGTCATAGTATAAAAAGGCACAAAAATTTCATAGTATACTTTGTCATGAAAAAAATGTCATAGTATTTCACAAAAATGTCATACTATAGTAAAGCATGAAAATGTCACAGTATAATTAAAAATAAAAATTGATAAAAATTGCATAAATGGCATAAAATTGACAAAAAAAATCATAGTATAGTAAGGCATGAAATTGTCAAAAAATGTCGTAGTATAGTAAGGCATAAAATGTCATAGTATAGTAAGGCAAAAAACATCATAGTATAGTAAGGCATAAAATTGTCAAAAAATGTCATAGTATAGGAAGGCATGAAGTGTCATAGTATAGTATGGCATAAAAATGTCAAAAAACGTCATATTATAGTAAGGCAAAAATTGCCCTAGTATATCAAGGCATAAAACATCATAGTATAGTAAGGCATAAAATTGTGAAAAAACATCAAAGTATAGTAAGGCATAAAACATCCAAAAACATCGTAGTATAGTAAGGCATAAAACATCATAGTATAATAAGGCATATAATTGTCAAAAAATGTAATAGTATAGTAAGGCATAAAATGTCATAGTATAGTAAGGCATAAAATGTCATAGTATATTAAGGCATAAAATGTCATAGTATAGTAAGTCATAAAATTGTCAAAAAATGTTATAGTATAGTAAGGCATTAAACGTCAAAAAACGTCATAGTATAGTAAGGCATAAAAATGTCATTGTATAGTAAGGCATAAAATGTCAAAAAACATCATAATATAATAAGGCATGAAATTGTCAAAAATGCCATAGTATATTAAGGCATAAAACGTCATAGTATAGTATGGCATTAAAATGTCAGTATAGTATGGCATAAAAAGTTTTAAAAAAAGACATAGTATAGTATGGCATTAAAATGTCAGTATAGTATGGCATAAAAAGTTTTAAAAAAAGACATAGTATAGTATGGCATTAAAATGTCAGTATAGTATGGCATAAAAAGTTTTAAAAAAAGACATAGTATAGTATGGCATTAAAATGTCAGTATAGTATGGCATAAAAAGTTTTAAAAAAAGACATAGTATAGTATGGCATTAAAATGTCAGTATAGTATGGCATAAAAAGTTTTAAAAAAAGACATAGTATAGTATGGCATTAAAATGTCAGTATAGTATGGCATAAAAAGTTTTAAAAAAAGACATAGTATAGTATGGCATTAAAATGTCAGTATAGTATGGCATAAAAAGTTTTAAAAAAAGACATAGTATAGTATGGCATTAAAATGTCAGTATAGTATGGCATAAAAAGTTTTAAAAAAAGACATAGTATAGTATGGCATTAAAATGTCAGTATAGTATGGCATAAAAAGTTTTAAAAAAAGACATAGTATAGTATGGCATTAAAATGTCAGTATAGTATGGCATAAAAAGTTTTAAAAAAAGACATAGTATAGTATGGCATTAAAATGTCAGTATAGTATGGCATAAAAAGTTTTAAAAAAAGACATAGTATAGTATGGCATTAAAATGTCAGTATAGTATGGCATAAAAAGTTTTAAAAAAAGACATAGTATAGTATGGCATTAAAATGTCAGTATAGTATGGCATAAAAAGTTTTAAAAAAAGACATAGTATAGTATGGCATTAAAATGTCAGTATAGTATGGCATAAAAAGTTTTAAAAAAAGACATAGTATAGTATGGCATTAAAATGTCAGTATAGTATGGCATAAAAAGTTTTAAAAAAAGACATAGTATAGTATGGCATTAAAATGTCAGTATAGTATGGCATAAAAAGTTTTAAAAAAAGACATAGTATAGTATGGCATTAAAATGTCAGTATAGTATGGCATAAAAAGTTTTAAAAAAAGACATAGTATAGTATGGCATTAAAATGTCAGTATAGTATGGCATAAAAAGTTTTAAAAAAAGACATAGTATAGTATGGCATTAAAATGTCAGTATAGTATGGCATAAAAAGTTTTAAAAAAAGACATAGTATAGTATGGCATTAAAATGTCAGTATAGTATGGCATAAAAAGTTTTAAAAAAAGACATAGTATAGTATGGCATTAAAATGTCAGTATAGTATGGCATAAAAAGTTTTAAAAAAAGACATAGTATAGTATGGCATTAAAATGTCAGTATAGTATGGCATAAAAAGTTTTAAAAAAAGACATAGTATAGTATGGCATTAAAATGTCAGTATAGTATGGCATAAAAAGTTTTAAAAAAAGACATAGTATAGTATGGCATTAAAATGTCAGTATAGTATGGCATAAAAAGTTTTAAAAAAAGACATAGTATAGTATGGCATTAAAATGTCAGTATAGTATGGCATAAAAAGTTTTAAAAAAAGACATAGTATAGTATGGCATTAAAATGTCAGTATAGTATGGCATAAAAAGTTTTAAAAAAAGACATAGTATAGTATGGCATTAAAATGTCAGTATAGTATGGCATAAAAAGTTTTAAAAAAAGACATAGTATAGTATGGCATTAAAATGTCAGTATAGTATGGCATAAAAAGTTTTAAAAAAAGACATAGTATAGTATGGCATTAAAATGTCAGTATAGTATGGCATAAAAAGTTTTAAAAAAAGACATAGTATAGTATGGCATTAAAATGTCAGTATAGTATGGCATAAAAAGTTTTAAAAAAAGACATAGTATAGTATGGCATTAAAATGTCAGTATAGTATGGCATAAAAAGTTTTAAAAAAAGACATAGTATAGTATGGCATTAAAATGTCAGTATAGTATGGCATAAAAAGTTTTAAAAAAAGACATAGTATAGTATGGCATTAAAATGTCAGTATAGTATG